AACCTATAATTCAGCTCTTCAGGATCACTTTTCAGTCCTCCAAGATATTTTCTCCCCTTAAAAAAAAAAAAAGAAAATCAAGTTAACATGGATTGGTAAAAGATGGAGACAAGATAAAAGATTAGGAATATGCCAAAGAAGTATGAAAATTGACCAGCACAACTTGTATATAACTTAAAAGGCATGACAAGAAAAACAAAACAAACAAACAAACCCCAAACAAACAAACAAACCCTCCCCAAAAAGTCTGGAATTATTTTCGGTCTTCTGGAGGAAACAATGTATGTCTGTCTTGGCAGATTGCAGCATATTAGATCCTAAAAATGCAGCAACTTTATACAGAGAAAAGTTATTTTAGAGAGTTTTAAAAATGTATTAGACCTAGTTCTTCTTTCGCTACATTGCCTGTCCTTGCATGATAAAGCAAGCCTACTTCACAGGCAAGCAAGATCAGAAAAAATAATTCTTAAAACAATTTTTACACTTTTAATGTTTCCATAAAGTAGCTTTTCTCCGAAATGCACAGCACAAGTAACCACATTACATGAAAGCATGGTATAAAAGATGCGGATATCTCATGAGTTTCCAAAGATTACTGTGTTAACTCTCAAGAAACTTGTAACATTCTCCCAAGTTACCATGTAATCATATTGAAATTACATTATACTGGACTTTCTTATCCCACACTGCATACTGCTGTTACATTTAAAGTTCCTCAGGGCAAGGACTGTGTCTGTATCTATTTTGTAAGGTGTTATGCAAACATATGGTGTTGTAATAACTGATAAATAATCATGAGTACACAGTAACCTCAAACTTGGGCTGGGAGATCTTTTATACCTACACTCTTGCTTACTCTAATGTGTTATCCACATATACCTGTGAGCATACGCAGGTGAGCATACATGCACGTGGAAGCACAGTGTACTGGTGTGTACTGGTGAGAGTGGTAATGATGCTGAGGTAAAATCTGTCTTCAGACCTTTTTCTGGCAATTTTGTACCCCATTAACTGAAAACATTAAACCATTACATTTACAGACTGTGCACTATCATGCTTCTGTAATTGAGGGAGTAAAATTCTTTTGAATCTAAATTTCAAAAAACAAGTGTATGGTACATTCTGAGCAATTACCTGCTTTTTAAACTGACTGTGAATTTTTTGCATCGGGGGGGAATGAAGTCAGTTCCTTTGAAAATAAATAAATTATAGGTTTTATGACTCGCATAAAGGAAATGTGTCCTTGGTGATGTTTGTACTTAGCATAAACTACCAAGCAAGCTACATGTATACTCTTTAAACAATTTTTTTTAAAAAATTTTAAACAGTAATTAAAATAATTACAAATATCTTTCACAATCTCTTCCCCAGCCATGCCTGTTGCAAGGATAGCAGAACCTGTTATATTCTGCTCACCTGAAAACTTTATCATTGGGTCGTAAAACTGAGAAGTCATGATTTAAATCAAAAGAGGCAAATGTTAGTAAAACTGAGATACTATTTTCCTAATTTTCCACTGTTTCTGATGAACACATTTTCCCCATAGATTAACAATCAAATGACTACATAGTTATCTGATTAATTCTTCTAGAAAAGAAAAAGGAGAAGATACATTTCCTCCACAGTGCATATAACTTATTTACTGTAACTGTGAGATAGACCATCCATGACAGTAGTCCTTGCAAAGCTTACCACTCGTGCCTACAGTGGAAAGAGCCAGTAAATCCACATTCAAATGCAGAACTCCTTTGCTCTCATTTCTTCTTTAGCCTGATCCTTATGTTTTCTTCTCAGTGGAGCAGCAAACACACTATTAAAGCTCAAAAAGGGACTTCTTTGATCCTGGAAGAGAGAGACAATAAAATTAAAATGTTGTCCTACAAAAAACATTATTAAATGATCTCTGTAAGGTTGTGCTTGATTGAAATCTCTGGGGAACAGCCACTTGGGTCTGGGCTGAACTTCAGTTGCAGGCAGCTGTTCACTGAGGTCCTCTTTCCCTGTTGCAGAGTGTGGTTTTGTTTTGCTAAACTGGCATGCATGCCCTGAATCTCTCCCAGGAGGCTTGCTGTGTTAGTAAGGTGTATAGCTGGTCCTTCCCCTGCCTTTACCTTGCACACTCTTCCTCATACTGGGGGGCCCAATCACTTCCATCATCCTCAGAGGCTACTTCTAGAAACTGCACTGAAAATTGGATATTCCCCTACAGCTCTGTTTTGGGGAACGAGTAGCAGATCTTCTGTTGTTGCTTAATGATTAAAGAAGAGCAGATAGAGAAATCTTAACAAACTCTAATTCACAGTAGTTCAAGCAGCCTAAAAGCAATTACATCTTTTGGACAATCATTTGTAAGATAATTCTCTTTATCTGCATCAGCAACAGGGAGTGGAAATCTGTTCAGTCACTCTAACAAATATCCATAATTGGTTACATTGGCCTTTAGATGGCATATGTGACCTGGGAGATAGGAACTGGTATCTGACTCATCACTGGGAAAGTTTGTAGAACTAAATGAAATAATCAGTTTTGTTGTTTTGTATTGTTTTGTGTAAGGCATGCTCTGATTAGGTCTTTTTGCATAACTCCCATTGGAACTAATGGAAGCCATATGCACAGGAGAGAAAAATGGACTCATAAACATATTTTCCTCATCTTAACACTGTCTTATTTGCTTCTCTAGGCACCTTAACAATGAACATGCATTGGATGACAGGAGCACTGCTCAGTGTCGGGTGCAAATGCAAGTGGTTCAGCAGTTAGAAATACAGGTTTGTTACATGGATGTATTATCCTACTATCAAACTATTTACTATCAACCTAAACTAAATTGAATACACTTGCCTTAGTGACTCTAGGTTAAAGCCATATGCTTCTTGCGTGAAATTTGTTAATACTCATGAACAAGTGGGATTTTTTATTTAAAGATTTTTCACATTATAAATTATGCAATAATTATCTAACATCAAGATTGTCTACAGTATTTTGCTTTAACTGAGACACCAATGCCATTCATCATGAATGAAAAATGCAGTCCTTGGAGCAAAGACTGGATCCAAGCCATCTTCAGTTCTTGAAACACTGGATCTGGACCTCTCTTCCTTCTTCCCCTTCTGACCTCTGGTGTTTGTCTATGCCATTCTGCAGGATTAAAGAGCAGCAGTACTCCCAGCGTGTCAGTGGGCATTTTTCTGCAAGCAGAAGGTATAATGTCAGACCTACTCAGGGAGGGTCCCACACCTGGGACTGTGAGGCTCCAGTGCCCTGTACATGCTCTAACCATTAGAGGTCACTGCATGTACGTGAACGCTCCCTTCTGCTTATGCAAGAAGTGATGAGTACCCCTGGGGTCTCACAGTATTTAGATTACACTTATCAGGCCACCAAGGTTGGACACAAGCCTCAGGAGTGACTCTGCAGGACACTTACACCATGCCACCCCCTCCTGCCCATACAGCAGTCATAGCAGGGGCATCTCTCAGCAGTCCTGTCCCCTCTTGGGACCAGCCAGGGGAGCTCAAGAGACATAGCAAGGGACTGAGATTTTTGTCTCTGTTACTCTCCATGTCTGGAGAAAAGAGGATAAACACGTTTCACCTGTCTCACCTTTTAGCATATTGTCTCACTGTTCTCTTTCATGTAAGAATACTTGTTCTTCTTTCAGCCAAGGCAAACTGTTGGGGTATTTTTTGTTTTAACACTGGAAACCCAAAACAGCGAGAGGATTGCACAATAATGTACATAAATTGTCATTTGCCTTAAAATGAAAGATTTTTAAACCCAGGTAAAGCTGCTGTTTCTTTTATAATATTCATAGGATAGTGTTAGCTTAATTTGTTCGTTAGGAATTTACGTCATGGCAAATACCATGTCTCTAAAGTATGAAGCCACATAGTATGAAGCCACACAATATGAAGAAACCTTCTTTGCATCCCTTGCCTCAAATGTTCTTTAATTGGAGATGCACTGAGCAAATTATATCCATAATACTGAAAATATATGCAGTAATAAAGATAGTTTCCTCTCTTAGAGTTACTTACAAGTTGTTTTCCTTAGTCCAGTCTCAGTCTACAGGTGTAACTATTGGGCAAGACTCTCCAGAAAGTGGTAATATTAAATATCAACTGATTCTTATTGCAATTAATGATGTAATCATATTGTAGGTATACAGAGCCAAGTCACTAGAATAAAATTTTGAGCATTTCTTCTTGCAACCTAGTTTGTGGGAAAAAAATTCTTTTCATGTTATAAGGTACCTTTTCATCCTTCATGTTCTGCTATTTTTATCAACAAGTTACATATTTCAAACACTTCCTCCTCTTTCTTTTTTTTTGCTTTTAATTTGGTAACTTGTTTGAGTCTGAAACTACAAATATTTACATACCATAGGGTCAGAAAATGGTATAAGTTAGGAAAAAGTAGAGGTTTGAGTAATGAGATGTTTTCTAAAGGCAGTGTAAGGGCTGCTTAAGAACTGTTTACCATTTACAAAGGCTAGGCTGTAATCTAACAGTCCAAGTGAAGATTTAGCTTGCAGTGTGACCAATTATGCCATTTTTTGCTTTGTCTGACTGCTAGTGAAGTAGGGTCCATCAGTTGTAATGAGACCCAGTTCAGTGTCGATGCCGACTTGATGGCAGAGTTCAGCATTTCACACTGCCTAGGCTCTGTCACTCTATTGAATTAGATTGATGATGGCAGATTGCAGGGGGCACTAACTGGACTTCAGTGGGAAAGGATGAAGTGTGTAGTCAATCCTGGCAGGCACTGTGCTTTGAGGACCCTTCACCCCTTCACAGCTGTTGGCACTAGGCCATTGCTAACAGTGTCCACAGGACTTTAAAGAGACTCTATGGGCCTTCTAATTTATGGTCTTAGTAACTTGTTACTGTTGAGGCAACTGTGACCTCAGTTCTCTTATTGACAAAAAGATGAAGTGCTATTTGTTTTCTCTGACCTTTTAACATATGAAAGGCTATAAAAGTTTTTTGGGTTTTTTTCTT